TACTACTGTTGCGTCAGCGAGGTCACGTGACTAGTGTCACGCCACCTATTTTCTAGAAATATCCTGTTCCTTCGTGAATGCCCTAGCATTTACTAGATTGGGGGTAGCTAGTATATATAACATGGTCACAACGTGTGTGTAGGTAGTGAGTAATTGAACTGCAGTCAGAAAGTATTGTTGAAGTTAACGTTCGTTGTTATAGCGTTTGTTATAGAGCGACTGTTGAAAATAAGTGTATCGGTAAAGTTATATTCAGAAAGAATAAACCAGTTTTATTAAGAAAGGACTTGTGTCGCTAAAGTTTCGTGGGAACAAAGTTACAGAAAATTAATTAACGACTGGAGGCGTAACACTACTTTTATAAAAATTTACTTCTTACTTCTTTTATGACTTGTGGAAACTATCTAAAGAGCTGTCGCAACGCAATATTTCTAAACACATTTCATCAAATTAATGTTATAAAATATAGTACCAATCCAAAGTAAGGGTGCATATGATACAAATAAGTAAAAATAATAGTAAAGAATAAATGTTGAAATGGATGTTTTATTACACTGAATATATTTCATATATCGCAAACTTAAAATTACCTTCCGAATTGTGAAATCGTTTCGGGAAAAAGGTTTTGAAGACCAGTTTTTTAATTGACAGTATTTTAAATATTACGTATAAGTTCTTCCTCGCATTAAATTTTTGTTCCATTTTGCGTGCCAAACGAACGAGAAAATAAATAAAAACATCAAACAGAAAATGTAAATTAGCATTATTACTAACATGCAAGACGATGTGACGTACTTCATAATCCATCAGAATTACCTGTGGTGTTATTAATGTCCTATAAACGTTAGACTTTTTTTCCCCATAAATTTGCGAAACGAAATCTAAATGTATTACGAAGAATATTATACCTTAATGATCCGTTTTAAGATCATTAACAAATAATTCTTTCATCCATTGTTCCATACTTTGGATATCCTTGGAATGAGTAAATAAGCAAAAATAAGATTTTATATCATATTATGTGCATCTTGGAGGCATATTAGAAATACTGCAAGTACATTAATACGGTGTATTTTATCTTGTTAATTTTAAACTAATCGTTCGTGTACAGTATTCCTTTAATAAAGTAAAGTTATATGCTAACCTTGTGCAAACACAGCTGATGGTAATAGCAATAAGTGTCGCGGATTCGCAGACCATATACCAATGACTTCTATCCATGATTTACGACTGCTTCAAGTTTAAATCATTGTAAAATCAGAAACTGTTTGTTGTATTTTAAGTAACAACGTTTTTCTGTATTAACAGCACATCTTATTACGTATTAGAACAAATTATGCCAATAAGTTAAACGACTTTATACTTGCCAACACCAAAATGGTTAACACTGAGATGAATGAAGCGTATTTAAATTGTACCTAGTTCGAAAGCTTATAATCCTAAGGTGAACATACTGTTTAAACCCAAGTCGGGGACACTTTTATAAAAAAATTTACCTGTAGTCATCATAATCCCAGATACAGGCAGTATCGAATAAACTTGTTGTATTAATGTCATTTGTCTCTGCTGAGAGTATTTGATTTAGGATTTTATTCTTCCAAGACAAAAACAAAACAGGAAAATGTTCTACTACATATTAAAAATCGTAACTATGGCAATTACACAAATATTATCACATGACGATGCTATACCTAAGCTAATAATAATAATAAAAACTCGCAAAATATTTATTTCTCGTATATTTCTGCTACAGACTTTATAATAAAAAAAATTAAATGTACGGGTATGTCTGGGCGATTTTTTTCGAATCGGGGTTGTATGTTTACTCTATATTACAAAGTTAAACCAGTATAATATATTACATGTAATACTAATATTAACACTTAATATAAAAAAGTACAGAACTCAATCTATTACAAAAGTGTGGAAATAATCATGTAAACACTAGGCCTAAACCAAACATTATACAGTTACTGAGAGTCGGATACCAAGTCAAGTCGTTAAAGTAGTCCTTATACTATCCAGTAAAATTATTACGCCGGAAATTAAACATTTTACAAGCATAGAGACCCAGTAAAATCATTAAACTAGTTCTGAGACTCAACCAAATATTAGAAATGCCATGACATCTTGTATTATCAATACAATATACCTTTACAAAATACTGAGACCAACCAATACTTGTGAGATTTGACAAAATCTTACACAAGTACTGGCATCATACTAAATAATTTCACTAGTTCAGAGAAAAAGAATATTCCAAATAATAGTTCTGTAACTCAATAAAAAATTTAAAAAGTCATGAGACAGAGCAAAAGGTTAAGCTTTCTGAACTTGTTTCCTCTTGAAAATAGAAGAGTTAGAGGGGATCTGATCGAAGTGTTTAAGATTAAGGGAATTAATAATGTTTGTGCATTATTATTTTTTCATATTTCATGGTGAGAACTGTAAGACTAGGGGACACAGATATAAATTTTGGCAGAGAAGAAGTCACTTTCAGCTAAGACAGCTTTATTTTCCTAACAGGATGATTGGCCTCAGAATGGGTTGTCTTCAAATGCAGTAGATGCAGTTAATTTAAAGGATTTTAAAGGAAACTTTCATAAATATTTGAATGATAAGGGCTTGCTTTGAGTTTTTTTGTTTGTTTTAGGGGTTAGTTTAATCTAGTAGATAGGACAACCTAGATGGACCAAAAGGTCAATCATTGTCTTGTAGTGTTATGTTATAAAACCAGTACACCATTTCTGAAAGTTAAGCAAATGTTATCTGAGACCTAGACCTATGAAAACCATTATTCCAGTTCTAAAACTAAATGAAACATTACACAAGTACTCAGATATTGAAACTCAATCAAACATTACACAATATGGAGGGCCAGCAAATCAATTACACTAATTCTGAATCTCAATAAAATATTAAAACAGTACCATTATGCTAGCTTTGAGACTTGATCAAAATGGCAAATGGAAGTCCTGATATATGCAAAATCAACATATTAAATTTGAAACTTAGTCAAACGTTACTTAAGTACTGAGCCCCTGACAAAGCATTACACCAGTTCTTACAGAAGCATGGTGGTGGTGGGGGTTAACACAAAATCTAAAGGTCCACTAATTACTCTCCTTTTTTTAAATTGCTAGAATATTATGACATGGTGTAAGAAAGTGTTTCCATTTCGAGCATTTTATCAAATTTACTACACCATCTTTTATTGTCAGATGACTCATTGTTTAAGTGTATGGGGTACACATTTCTATGCATTAAGACCACCCTAGTTATTACAAAAGAGAATATTAAGACTAATGATTGGTCTTCCATATAGAGCATCTGTGACTAGTAAATTTAAAGAATATGGAGTTTTAACAATTTATCAAGCCTGTGTTTTCCGATTCATTTGTATTGCAAAGGATATTACAATATTTAATCCTTATATGAACTTATTAACTCCCTCTGGAAAAAGTTTATATTCCTTTCAGCAAAAAAAACTATATATATGTCCACGAAGTTATTCAGTTTTGAGCTCCAGGTACTTTTATTAGTTGGTTCCGATTATTCTAAATAAAATTCCATTAGATGATTGGTTAACTCCCAGCACTAAGTTATTTAAAATATGTATATTTTAATTACTCTGTGTTTGGTTTAACATATTGATAATTATTGTGTATAGTTGTTTTTGTATTTTTTATTTTTTCTCAATAGTTGGTTATCTATTATGGCAGTAACTTTATGAATACAAAAAAAAACTTAAATTCTTTGTGCAGAAGAAAAGGTACACATTTCTTTTGGAAACAGACCCCCACCCCTATTTTGTATGGTTCACTACATTCTTGTTTCTGAGGCAAATAAAAAATATTAATTATATGAATACTATTTTTGGACTCAGCCAAACACTGTTCAATACTGTTAGAGTTGTTCTTCAATCCAAGCTTACAGAAATCTTGAAAACCATATAACTTGTCCTATGACATCACCAAACTTTTCATGGGTTGTGTGATCCAGTAAAGCCATTACACAAGATTTGTGGCTTGATCACTGTCTAAACAAACACAGAAGTTTTGAGACTCATCCAAACATAACAGCATGTATTGAGACCTAGAAGAACATTACATTAGTTCTGACAAAAACAAATATTACACAAGGATGAATATTATAGTATTATTCTATTTCTGATACTTATTTCAACACACTAAACAAGCATTGAAAGGCATCAAAAATTCAAAACTATTATTCTTATTTTCAAAAGCAACCAAAATTTCAAATATAATATGTTTCAATAATAACACTACATCAAGTGTCATCAAAACACTGTAGAAACATTGTGGCCCATTTTGTACAAAGCAATTAAACTAGACCTATAACACACTCAAACTTTACCTACACAAATATTGATCCACAACCAACCATTATATTAGTTTTGACATTACAAAAATAGAAAGACCCCAAAAAATCACTAAATGCTTTCAGTCTCTACCAAACATTATTACAAGTACTTGGACTCAATAACACCATTACACTGTTCTGTGAATCAACCAAAGATAAGCAAGTAATGAAAGAAAGCCAAATCACTATTTTATTTCTGAGATTCAGAGGAATATTATACAAGGTACTGATAACCAGGAAAAACCATTACATTATTTCTGAGACTCAAAAAAATGTTATACAAGTACTATGATCCACAGAAGACACAACAAAATAGTACATAAATAATGAAACCCATCAAAACCTTGACAATAATTTAGAGTTAAACAAATATTACACAAGTTTTGAGATTCGGCAAAACTACTGAACTTGAGTCTAAGATGCAACCAAATATTATAGAGGTTTTATGACAGATCACAACCATTAGACAGGAAGTTTTCCAACTTTAGTAACTTGAGAACCCCTTTTTAATTCAAAATTTATTCATGGACCACCAAACCGATCAAGGTTTTTTGTTTTGTAAAAAAGATACCGTGTGCATGAAAAGCTGTATTCCAAAATTAAATATTTCAATTTATATAAATTCAATTTTATGAAAAATATTTTTTATTCTATAAATCTTATTTTTTAAATTATTTTTATGAAATTTTAGACATGAATTGTGGACTCCTGGAATTCTCTCATGGACCCAAATTTGAGAAACTCTGCATTAAACTATTTCTGAGGCTCAAAAAAACATTACACCAGTACTAAGACTAAGCAAAATCATTATAATAATTTTGAGATAAAATCAAACATAATAACACAATACTAAGGCCTAGAAAAACTATTACATTAATTCTGAAACTTTACCAAACATTATTCAGGTAGTCAGACCTTTAAAAACAGTTACACTGGCTTGAAGACTTAAACATTATAAAAGTGCAAAATCATTACACTAGTTCTGAAATTAAACCAAATATTACAACAAGTATTGGAATACAGCAAAACCATTGAACTAGCTTTGATACTCAAATAAAACATTACATAAGTCATGAAATTAAGTAATCCCAAAACATTGTATAAACTCAACCAATTATTACACCAATACTGAGACCTAGAAAAACATTTATACTGGCTTTAAGATTCAACCAAAGATTTTACAATACTAAGAACTGGCAAAACCTGTACAATAGTTCTGAATGTCAACAAAACTAATCACGTATGGAAATCATACAAAATCATTATACTACTTTGTGACTCATCTATATATATATATATATATATATATACTACAATAGAGACCCAAAAAATATTAATGAACAACTAAGATCTGGTAAAATTAGTGCATGAGATCTGAGACACAACAAAACATTACACAAAAGCTGAGACTCAGAAACTCTATTACAATATTTCTACAACTAAACATTCAACAAGTAGACACTAACAGAATGATTAATACACTAAATCTGACAATCAACCAAACTTTACACAAGTACAGTGGCCTATCAAAACCAATACACTAGACCAGAGACTCAGGTGAACAATGAAAAGTACTGAAGCCCTCTAAAACTATTACCAAGCTCTGAGAGTCAACCACACATTAAGCAAATACTAAAAAGAAACAAAATCAATGCTCTAGTTCTGAGTCAATGAAACTTTATCAAATTTTTGAGACCTATCAAAAAATATAACATAATTTCTGTGACTCACCCAAACTACATACAAGGCATCCAAATGTTACAAATGTACTGAGATCCAACCAAACTATTACAAAAATTTTACCCCAGGTATGAAACAAATATTAAAGCACTTAGACCAACAAAAACAATTAACTAGTTAAAAGATTCAACTGCTTATTATGCAAGTATTGAAACTCTTCAAAATTATTACAATAATGTAATAGAAATCAATACACAATAATGACACTCAGAAAAGCTATTACACTAGTTCTGAGATTAAACTAATACTTATACAAGTACTGGAAATCTACAAAACCACTGTACAAGTTTGAGATTTGATCACACAAATATTAAAAAATACAGATACTCAACAAAATTTCAAATTAATACATTAATTTTGAGACTGAAATAGCCATTATACGTGTATAAGTACACAGATCCAGTAAAATTAGCATGTTAGTTTTAGACTTAAACATTACATGAGTCCTTAGACAAAATACAAAAATTCCACTAGTTCTGACAAATAAAATATAACAAACAATGTTGTGTTCTTAATTCTTAACCTAAAAATTTGATTTCTAAATGACTTAAATAAAAATAATAATCAGAATTCACTTGCTTAATCTGGTTCACACCATAAAAGTTGTTGTTCACAAAAACTGATGATATATAGCACCTAGACCACAACTCCTTCCCTCTATGTACCATATCTGAACAGGATGTTCATTCACAGATCTCTTCTCCTTGAGGCACAAAGAATTTCCAGTGATAATACATTCATCCATTTGGATAGATGCTTGACACAATTATGTCAACCTCTGTCTTCCGCAGTCTCTCCTTCCTTCAATCTTTCCAGTTATGATCAGACTGCCAATTTCTTCTTTCCTCATAATGTGTCCTAGAAACTCCAACTATCTTTTTCTGATGTTAGTCAGCAGCTTTCTCCTGCAACCTGCTCTTGAGAAAAAATCTTCATTTATGTGAGACTTGCCCAACATACTTTCAAGATGCATCTTAAAAACCACAACTCAATTCTCTTTTCCATACTTGGCAATATTTACCACTATTACATCTGTTGTATCCCTGGTGCTGGGATAAGGCATATGTAATGTAGTTGATATGTTATAATACATTCTCCTTTGCTTTCATTCATGAGCTCTTAGAATTATTAGCTAATGTAGTTTTTCCCCCATTGATGTTGTGGTTGCTTGACCTACTCCGGGAACATGCTGGCTTGTAACTGATAGTAAAATTAATTCAAATAAAGTAATAATAATAATAAATATATAATCAGTGTTATATTATTAATTCTTACCCTAAAAATCTGATCTGTAAATTACTTAAATAAAATTGAAAATAATTACAATTCATTTACTTAACCTGGTTCACACCATAACTGTTTTTGTTTATGAAAACTGGTGATATGTAAGTATATATATACTTACACACACACACACAAACATACATATCTCTGAAGGCCTGATGAGCCTTGGTATTTGGCAAAAGGCCTCAATGGTACTGGATATGGCAGATAAAATGTGGTTCACATATTATAATATATTCTCCTTTGCTTTCACTTATGGGTTTTTAGAAATATGTTAGTTTTAACAACAGACAAACATCATACAAGCATTGAGACCCTAAAAAATCGATAATTAGTTTTAACAGTCAATCAACCATTAAACAACTATTCAGACCCAACAAAACCAAACACTTCACAAGTACCATGACTCGATAAAATAAGCATACTAATAAGACCCCACAATACCATTACTCTTGTTCAGTAAATTCAACCAAATGCTAAACAATTACTGACCCTACTAAAGTATGTACACAAACTCAGAGGTTCAACCAAACACCAAATCTATTAAATACATACACTAGACACAAGTCTGAAGATACAGCAATAACTACTAAACTAAATCTGTGCCTCAACTAAAACATATACAAGTACTGAAGCTCAAGTATTGCCCCTTCAGTAAAACCCATAACAGTAATTTTGAATCTCAGCCAAATATTACAGCAAGTAGTAAGACACTGAAAAACCAACAGAATACTTCTGAGACCCACAAAAACTATTACTCTACCACGCTTTACAAATGTACAGAGTCCCTGCCAAAACAGTGCATTATTTCAGACCATAAACAAAATGATTAACAGTAACTGAAACAAATAAAAACTATTTCACCAGCTATGACAGTAAAAAAGAATATAATAAAAGTACTGCAAACCACAAAACTACTGTACTAGTTATAAGTCTGAACCAAACATTATACAATTAATGAGACCCAGTAAAACCATTACTCTTGTTCTAAGACAAAACCAATATGAACATACCAAACAAAGCTCTTACATTATTTCTGTAAGTCAATGAAAAATTGAAAGATTGCACAAGTATTGAAACCAAGCAAATCCATTACATTGACCCTGAAAATCAAACTTTACAGTAAGTACTGGGATCCAACAAAATAATTACTCAAGTGGCAAGATTAAACAAAACATTACATCAAGTTTTGAGACACAGCAAAATTATTACACAACTTCTGAAATTTATCAAATGTTACACAAATTTGAATAGCCAGTAAAACAATCACATTAATTCTACAAAAACATGACCAATCATCATATAAGTAGGGAGACCAAGAAAAACCATTACACTTATTCTGAGACTCAACCAACTTTACTTAATGTAATGTGACCCAGCAAACCTGTTACATTGGTTTTGACTCAACCAAACATTATCAAGACCTGAGATCTAGCAAAAAAGTTTCACTGATTCTGAAACTCAACCAAGCATTTCACAAATACAAACACCTAATAAATCCATTACAGTAAAAAATACTATTAACAGTCAGGGTATTCAAATGTTGGAACAATGTATTCTAATTACAAATGGACAATTTAAATGATTAATTGGTTACCTATGAGCAGCAATTACATTGATTAGTTTCATGTCCACTAATCAATTAATCATACTTATAATTAAACCACTTAATGTCATGAAAATACTCAACTACTCAAAATTAATGTTTCTGATTATCCTAACAATTGATTAACTGAAATTATCATTAAACTGATTATCACAAAAGTAACCAACTAATTGGGCACTCTGGGAACAATAAGTAATTTGCACCCAAAAAAACGCATCAGATTTGATTAAAAGATTGAAGGGATTAAACTTCAAAGGTAAGAAACTTGCAAGTTTTGACGTGAAGGTGCTTTTTACAAATGTACCAGTGGAAGGAGCAATTGAAGAAGTGGAAAGAACCCTAAGAGGTGTCGATGAAAGTGACCTACCCTTAAGGAAGATGGACTATATAAAATTAATATCTTTGTGTGTCAATTTTTGGGCCTTTGTATTTGAAGAACAGGAATTCAAGCAACACACAGGGCTAGCTATGGGGTCTCCATTGAGTGCAGTTATGGCCTCTTTATACATGGAGATGTTAGACACATAGATTTGTGAGAATCATGGGAAGAGGATCTACATGGTTTTGTTATGTGGATGATGTGCTAGTGATGATTCCAGAGAAAACCAGAATGGAGAACAAGCTGAGGATGACAAACAATGTGCATGAAAACATCCAGTTCACGGTGGAAATGGAGGAAGGGGGCAAGCTACCCTTCTTAGATATGGTAATTCATAGGTTTGATGGACAGATAAAATTCTTGGTATATCGTAAGCCCACTAATAGAGATGATTTCATACACTACTTATCAGCACACAGTGAAAGAACTAAATCTCAGGTGGTGATAGGCTTCTTTATTCAGGCTATAGGTATCTGTAGTGAAGAGTATATATAAGTGATGAATTTGTTTACATTACGGAAGCATTTAAGAAATGAATGTATCCAGTAGGGTTAATAAATAGATTAAGGACAAAGGCCTGGAAGATAGCTGGAAGACAAAGAAACATAGAAGATGTAAAAGGTGAGTTTGTTACAGTGCCACATTCAGAGCTAGCTGGAAATATAGACAGATTTCTGCTGAAAGCAGGAATGAAAATAGCATATGCATTGGGCTAAAAATCATGGATTTAGTGAACAAGAAATGTAAAAACAATAATAGAAAAGAAAAAGTGCAATGTATAAAATACCATGCAACAGTTGTCCCATTTAATACTACGGTGAAACTTCATGCGGAGTAGATGTAAGAATTAATGAGCATAAAAATGACTTAAAAAAACACCGTATATCAAACTTGTTAGTGTTACACGTAGACAGTCATGGACACTTGCCAAAGTGGCAAGACGTAAAAACTTTGCATAAAGGTTATGATAAGAGATTGAGATGGACCATTGAAGCTGCATACATCACTACAATAGTCACTGTGTCACTGGTGATTAGTGCAGCGAGAAGGGCAGATGCAGATTTATCAACCAATCAGGATGATGCATTCCCAGCAACCAACAAAGTAATCCATGATAGGATACATAATGTGCAATCTGTATTTGTTTGTATCATTCTCTTTGAAGAAGGCTTTGTGTCAAAACATAAGAGAAGTGAATAAAATTCCTGCTTCATTCTGTGTTTCCTTTCCAACGTACTTCACTAATCAAAGTATGTTGTTTTGAATATTACCATTTTTGATTCTTCCAACAAATGATTAATTCAAATTACAATTAAATCAACTGTCATGATTTTAATCAACTCATTGAAATTAGGGTTTCCAATTATTACTATTTTCAATTTTCCCAACTATCTAAGTAATTGAAATATTGCCATTATGTCTGTCTGTTGTTAAGTACAAAGCTACAAAATGGGCTATATGTGTTCTGCCCATTGTTGGTATTAAAATTTAATTTTAGCATTATAAGTTTTCTTTTACTATAAGTTTATTCAACTTTGGGCCAGCATAGTCTGGTGATTAGGGATGTGTTCGTGAGGGTGCTTCATGATTCCAGAGTCTTGTGTTTCATTCCCATTGCTACTAAACTTGCACATCGTGTCTTTATTATGGCAAAGCTATTCACCACTGTATATAATTTTGAACTGCTAATTAGAAGGCCAAGTCCACTGTCTGGCAGTTCCTACCACCAACTCTTGGGCAAATGTTTATCTGTTTTTGCTCATGTTAGGGAACACATACTATGGTTTTGAGGACTGTACTTATCGATTAATGGCCAACTGATTAATAAATCAGCAAATACCACTAACTGCCCAGCTCTGATTCTAATCATAATAAGTAATAAAGCTTTAATATTATATCTAATTAGCCATGCTCATTACTACATATATATGTTTAGTTCTGTTTTTCATAGATAGCTTAGTTTGATAATAAGTAAATATTGTTTTCAATTCAAGAAAGTTAGCAAAACCTTTAAACTAGTTCTGAGAATCAAGTGCACATTACAGAATTAATGTGAACTAGAAAAAACATTACAACAATTCTGTGATTAAACCAAAAGTACAAGATTACTGAGACTCAATCAGTCCATCACATTTGTTTAGAGACCCACCAAAAATCATTAAACTATTTCTAAAACTAAAAAAAATAACATTTTATAAAGCAAAATAAACATGCAGAACCATTCCATCTGTTTTAATATTCAACCAACCATTGTGCAAGTACTAAGACTCAACAAAACCATTACAATAATTCTGAAATTCATCAAACATTATATAAAATATCGAGTAAAAATCATTTCACCAGCTCCGAGATTCAAACAAACACTACACTATAAGTATAAGTTTGATGGGAATAACCTTAGCAGTGTTATGGAAAAAAAAGGATCTTGGTCTTTTGGTTGACCAGTCTCTTAAGCCATCCAAGCAGTGTGGTATTGTTGGTGGCAGTATGTATAAGATTTTGGGCTGTATTTAACAGTGAGAATGGTAAACAAGGAGACAAAAATATAATTCTTGGGAAGGTAGGACTAAGACTCATCTTCAGCTTAGACAGTTTTATTTTTCTAAAAGGATAGTTGGCCTTTAGAATGGGTTGCTTTCAGATGTGGCAGGTACAGAACAT